ATGGACGTGGGAAAAATTTGGCAACAAAACCACCACAAGTGCTGCTGGACAACGAAAACACCAAAGCCGTGTTCAGTGAGAAGCTGGCTAGGCAGTTATCGGAACAAAATACTGTCACTCATCCAGAAGAAGCTTGGTGCCATCTCCAGTCTGCCGTAAAAGCAGCGCTGAAGACCGTCGCCGACTCTAAAAGAGTGGCTGAAAAGAACCAGTAGATATCAGCAGCTTCTTCCGAACTAATGGATGCACGTGAACGCATCCCTGCAGGCCCCGAGTACAATGAGGAGCACGCACAGCTTAAAAGTAGACTGTGAAAAAGTCTGCGCAACGACCGCAAACAGTGGTGGGCAGCGAAGGCTAAAGAGATGGGAAAGGCAGCGATGTTTGGTAACAGTAGACAGTTATTTAGACTTAATAAGGAAACTGTGGGAAAAAGGTCAACTGCGGTCAGTGAGATCATAGCGGAGAAGGATGGATCTGCAATTCACTCGCAGAGGAGACGACTGGAACGATGGGCAGAACACTTCGAGGAACAGTTTAATTGGCCTCCAGCCACCATTGCGTCGCCCACTATCCAGTCGGATCCTGAATGGAACATTGAGATAGGCCCTCCAACGCTGGGAAAAGTTCAGAAAGCGGTAAGTAACCTGAAACCAGGAAGGGCAGCAGGACCACACGAACTACCTCCTGAGGTATACAAGGATGGTGGTAGAGTGCTCTTAGTCAGGTTAACGGAAGTGTTAACTAGTATGTGGGAATCAAATACAATCCCCTCTGACTGGTCTGAACCACTGATTATCCCAGTCTTCAAAAAACGCGAGAAGTCCTCCTGTGATAACCATAGAGGAATCAGCCTGACGAACATAGTGTCTAAGATCCTAGGTTCTATAACTCTTCGACGCCTGAGTGGAGCTAGGGGACAGCAAGTCAGAGAAAACCAGGCAGGCTTTAGACCCGGCTCCGGATGTATCGACCAAGTATTCACACTGCGCCAGGTTTTGGAACACAGACACGCTTACCGGCGTCCAACACTAGCTGTGTTTCTCGACCTGAAGGCGGCATTCGACTCCGTTGATCGAGAGGTCTTATGGCATTTTCTCTCACTGAAAGGCATGCCGAGTAAGTACATCACTTTATTGAAGGCTGTTTGCTCGAACACTGTGGGGGTGTTGGAGCCTATGGTGAGATGTCAGGTGAGCTGTACTCATCTAGTGGTGTCCGTCAAGGGTGCCCACTCTCTCCATTCTTATTCAATTTTATTATAGATGTTCTTATGGTGGTTTATCTCTCGTCGCCTAATTACACAGACGTTGACCTAATCGGTGGAGAATTTTCGTTAGAATATGCAGATGACATAGTCCTGTTAGGTGAAGACGCTGACAAGATGCAGAGTCTTGTTAAGACTTTGAGTGGGGATTTGAGAATGTTTGGGATGTGTTTCTCACCACCCAAATGCAAATTGTTGCTCCACGGTTGGTCTTCAGCAGTGCCACGGCTAACAATCGAGAGTGACGCGGTTGAGTGTGTTGACCGCTTCACTTGACTGGGAAGTAGGATCAGCCCTGCTGCCTTGGTCAATGGCCAATGAAATTTCTGCACGGATACAAAAGGCTAGGTTGGCTTTCGCCAAATTACACCACCTGTGGCGCCACCGTGATATCCGATTGTCTATGAAGGGTCGCGTGTACTGTACAACAGTCCGGTCTGTTCTACTCTATGGCTGTGAAACATGGCCATTGAAGGTGGAAGACATGAGAAGGCTGGCTTCAGGTGTTTGACTACCATTGCCTTCGTAGTATAGGCTTTATTTCGTTGTGTCACCATATGAGTAAGGCAGAAGTCAGGTGTAGAGTTTTAGGGAGAAGAGGTGAGTCAGTTGACTCAGTTGTGAACCTTCATCGACTGAGATGCCTGGCTGGGACATATGTTACGTATGCTTAATCAACATCTGCATCGACACACAATGTTGGCTGAAGTAGGTCCAGGCTGGAAAAAGGCTCGAGGTGGACAGACTAAAACATGGCATCAATGTATGAAGTGTTTGACTGGTGGTTTGAGCCATGTGGGGTGATGTAGACTAGCCGGTTGAGGTCTGCGGGACGGGAGAAACCAGTGGTTGGAGAATCTAGGTGATATGGCTCAGGACCGATGTCAGTGGCGCAGATGTATACACACATTATCCTCATCTTAACGACGCTATACCGAATCTCACCATTATCTCATTCTTCTTTCCTCGTTTTTAGTACTTTATATTTCTTTTGACTGCATTCTCTTGCGCCTCACTGCGTTTTTAGATGATGTACTGATATGAGGTGTCGCAACTCGCACCGTTACGCAGTGCCGCCTGGTCCTAGGTTGATGTGGATAGTGGGATGGTTTCCAGCCATGTCATCATGACTCCCCAACCACTGATTACTGTCGTCTCGAAGACCCCAGCTAGGTAGACTGCACTTCCCTTCATGACTCATGTAAAGTCATACTTCAGGAACTGGTGCCACGTCTTGGTCTGACCACCCGAAGCCTTATTCCAGCGCAATTCAACTTCTCCTAGCATTACATGTCGAGATAGGTGGTGGGTCGGCGTGCGTAGCACATGTCCAAGTCACTTCGGTCGTCGATAGTTCATCATCTCATCGATTGACTTGCCTTCCTTGCCAAGAACCCTTCACGTGACCTCGACGTTGCTCACATGGTAATTCCACTATACACAAGTAATCTTACGAAAACGCCTGTAGTCAAAACCTGTGGTTTCTTCATTTCTTCTGCTTTTAGCCATCACGCCCCAACCAGGATTTTAAACATAATCTTGGTTGCATCCTGGTATTTTTTTGCAATCATTTCGCTTTCTAACCTAATCTAACCACATGGCATATATGTTTCGACTTCTGTTGGTCTCCTAGTTAGTTGTGGAATTTCCCTTAGCGATGAGCTTTTCCCACTTTTGTTGCTAAGCTAATGATATATCCAGAAATGACTGGTTTCTGAACTGTATGCAAGAAAGTTCACTTATGTCCAGGTTCACTGAGTTCGTTCGCAACCACTACAGATTTCATAAAATGAACCCTCACTATATGCCCTCTTAAATGGGAAGACAGTAACTTTGTCGTTCGAACATGTGTTAGCATCCTTCGTTTAAAGCAAGTGAAAAGAGTTTGCGATTTATGAGTGAAATCAAGCACTCGACTCCTAAATGATGGCGCCCATATTAAAATCCCACTCCAATTACTTCAGTCCGGGCGATCACAAGTGTGACTTGCAACCTCGTACAAAATCACTGATTGCGTTATGTTTCAGCTCCAGGTTAGAGACCAAAAATCACTCTTATATAGACTGGGATGACATTAGCGTTGAAAACTGAAACGGATCATATTTGTACGACAAAACGCAGTTGACCAGTAGAAGCGGTAAGAAAGACTGAAAACTAATAAATATCAAATCACTATACTGAAGACCCTACACTCGAACACCCGTCATCGTGTTAGATCTTATGGTGAACTATCAGATGAAATATCTCCTTTGAGTGGCTATCCTCAAGGATGCTCACTATTCTCATTCCTGTTTGTTTGTATTCATTAATACGCTTATTGGAGTGTCCATAACCTCATGTCTCTCTAGGGATTGTCAGAGACTTCCTAGCCTACCTAAAGTGTTCTGTTGGATGGAGATACTGGAATGATAAACAGCACTTCAAAAACAGCTCAACTGGCCTGAAGCCAGCTAGCTACCCGATAACCCACCCCAACCAGTTACATGAATTACTCGCCATTTATTACGGTCATGATTCGAGACGATATCAAGCACTTTACCGTTATCATTGTCCGTGTATGACAAAGCGAATAACTAAGAAAAGTAGAGGCTAGATACATAATGTTAAAAGATGAGTCAATTGATAAGCTTTTGAACCTTTATCAAATTAACTGGCCTTGACGTGTTACGTATGCCTTGTCTCCGTCAAACCTGACGACCTATGTTAGTTGAATCAGTTCTAGGTTGGAAAACGTCATGGGTAGCCAAAGTAAAACATACTTGACTGTTTCAGCATTCTAGGAGATGCGGCTGATTGGCTTAAGCACTCGACTTTCAAGTAAAGGGTCCGAAGTTTGAATGCTATTCCATCTATTTCATCCTGGGCGATTGGGTAGTATCATAAACTTTTACGCAAAACGTATGTCCCATAACCTGGTGCATGGACATGTGCCAGCTCAAATCTCATTGAATAATTAAGTAAAGGGTCCGAAGTTTGAATGCTATTCCATCTATTTCATCCTGGGCGATTGGGTAGTATCATAAACTTTTACGCAAAACGTATGTCCCATAACCTGGTGCATGGACATGTGCCAGCTCAAATCTCATTGAATAATTAAATAATTACAATAAAGCAGCGTCAATCCATGAAGTCCAACTGATCATTTGAGGAATGTAGGAAAGGATCGATTTACTGGTTGAAGTCTGTTAATATAACCGTAACCGATAATTCAAGACTCTAGGGGATGTTTCAAGATCGATCTCAGCAGCTCTGATGCATGTATATCACGTTCGCCTTAGACGTTTTGTCGCGTTTGTTTGTTTCCCCACCCTTTGTTCTTTTTCTTTTATATCTGTTTATGCTTGTTATATCACTCATATTCTTTTGTTTTTCGTTGTTTTATACTTTATTTCTTGCCATGTTGTGTGGCAGCTTGGACCGTTGTGCGGTAACACGTGGTGCTACGGCGATACTGACTAAAATTTTATGATTATACATGTAAGATTGGAATATCCTCTTGGAAAACATACAACCAAACTCAGAAACCTAATGTTTTGATGCTAGTTTTTTCTTTAGGAACCTGGTTTTTTTATGCTCATAGGGGATATCTTTGTTTCTAGCTTTTTGTGTTGGTTGGAAAGGGAGATATTAGAAGGAAATATTAGTTCCGGAAGGCCAAATGTTTTAATGGACTGTTTTTTTCTATTTTCATAGATTACTAAGTGTGATTTAACCAAAACTGTTGTTACTTTAGTTATTGATGGAGAGTGAGAGAGACGAGGATTATCCCATTGGTGTGTTGATCGAAGAACTCCGCGGTGAGGACTTGCAAGTTCGTCTTCAAAGTATCCGGAAAATAGCTACCATTGCATTAGCTCTTGGACCCGAAAAGACCAGATCACAACTTATTCCATTTTTAACAGAGACGATTTATGATGAGGACGAAGTACTACTTGCTTTGGCGGAACAGCTCGGAACGCTAGTCCCATATGTTGGTGGTTCAGAATACGCTCATTCGCTGCTTCCCCCCCTTGAGAGTCTTGCAGCTGTAAGTTGTTTTGTAAGATTTGTTGAATGACGCCAAAAGCCAAAATGCGTAAAAAATAAACTGTAGCTACTAAAAGTGACAAATTTCTCAGAATATCGTGACAACGTTGTACTCCGAATTAAGTGTTTAACTCAACTTATCGTTGAAAACATTAAATTTTCTGTTGAGAATGGTTTGCAGGGGTGAATCTGTTACACTAAAAAATTGGTCACTATTAGCGGTTAAAACAACCAGAAATGAATTACTTTTGGAATGGTCTGTTCAAGTGTTGGTGTGTAATTTTTTTTTAATTCTGTAGTTTGAGAATTAAGCTGCCGATGTAAAAGGACTTAGTATTTGGAAGTCAGCAGACGAATATTTCACACCTTGCAACAAAGAATAATGGATTATTATCTATAACTCAGTGATTGTATCATTTGTTTACTGAATCTTTTAATGAATTTTGGAAGAAGTATGGGTTGAATAGCTTTGATCATAGAATATTGTAAATTTCTGCTTGTAGACTAGCTGCCATACATAACTCGAAATCATGGACAGTGTTTCTCACACATTCAGTTGTCTTTTGCAATATTAAAAATACTCCATATTATTTTCATTGTTGCACTCATATCTATCGTTTATTTCAATCATTTATTCCTGCTGTTTTCCTCCATATTTCTCTCTGGGTTAAAACGATCCACAGTTGTGACACGTTCTACTTTGTCCAGTTTTATTCGCTTTAGAGTTGTAGCTTATTGGTTTAAGAAGTCTACTTTCAACCGATGGATCACAGGTTCGAAACCCGCCCCACCTACTGAGGTTTGCAAAGCTAGGTAATATCATAGGGTCTCACACAATAGGTATGACTCCATTACCAGTTGCATAAATGTGCAAATGGTTACTGAGTGAGTGTATTTCGATTTTGTTTCTGCTATAAGTTTTGTGACAGTTTTCGATCTGTCGTAAATGATGTTGTTGTGTTCCCTGAGCTGAATTACTTAATCATGGAGCTTTCATTATCATTCTAGACAATGTCATCAATAGAAAGATTTATCTAAGCAAGTTAATTCAGGATTATTGAGTAACACTTGCATCAGCACTCCATGTTGACTAAAGCAGACTTACAAGAGGAAGATGGGGTGGTTTACAGATTGTTGGACAACGTTAAAACATTATCAGACTAATCAAGCAAGCATCACACTCCATATTGAAAAAATAGTTCAACTGGAATATAGTCTTTGACTGTTGGTCTGAGCCATGTGGGCCGATGTAGACTAGGTGGTTGGAATCCGTGGGACAAGAGAAACCAGTGGTTGGAGACTCTAGGTGATATGGCTCAGGACGGTTGTCAGTGGCGCAGATGTATACACACATTATCCTCATCTTAACGACGCTATACCGAATCTCACCATTATCTCATTCTTCTTTCCTCGTTTTTAGTACTTTATATTTCTTTTGACTGCATTCTCTTGCGCCTCACTGCGTTTTTAGATGATGTACTGATATGAGGTGTCGCAACTCGCACCGTTACGCAGTGCTGCCTGGTCCTATGTTGATGGGTGATGATGATATCATTTAGGGGCGTGTAAGATTGTATATTGATTTTTGTTCAATAGCTCTGTACAAGTGTGTGAATGTTGTGCAAATTTTACAGAACAGTAAATTTCAATCGGTTTACAATCATACTAATTTATTTGTATCTGTCATTTCAGTACTTATGAAAGTAATGTAAAGTTATACAATGATCTTTGTTTACGGCTTATGAATCTTGTATCAATGATTGCTACTTACCATTTTGATTAAATGGTTCTCATCAGAGATCTTGCTGAGCTTACTGTTGTTAGGTTGAGAAATTCGTAAGGAAAAGTTCACGAGGGTTGTGTTATTTGCAATCGATTTACAAATTTCTCTCTACCCCAAAGTTTTAGTTCACCAGCAACATGTTTTGCATAGAACGAGTAATGTAGATGTCTAGTTCTGAGATTACCTTTGAAGATAATATTTTGTGAGACTACTAGTTGTTTAGTAGCATATTTCACACTTTTTGTTAGAAGTTCACTGATCACTCATTTTCTCTGCTTATATTTAGCACTAAAAGCATGACTGACCACTCTCTCTATGAAGATTTAATTCAGAATTATATTGCTCAATGTATTCTTCTAGCCTTAACTAACAGTGTTGACCGAGAAGTAATTTAGCAGCTGTTTCAACACTACAGAAGTTCACAAACCTTTATCAACCTCATTCGACAGCTATACGCTATATGATGAGGATACATGCCAAGTGATTCACATTGCAAAGCTCAGTGGTGCCTGTGAAGTGGAGTGAAGTGAAGACAGGAGTAAGACGACAAGGTTGCCCACTATCCATCACCGATGATCTTCCTGATCGTGGTCGACTCGACTCAACTCGACTGGATCATGCAAGAAACTGTGAGGGGCGAGAAGATGACCATATGCTGGCTGGACCGATGAAAAGACCACAGAAGAAGATTTGGACTTTGTCGATCATGATTTATGTCTAGTGTCTGGTCGCAGAAGCTCGAAGATCTACGGGCGAAAACTAACAAGTTGGCAGAAGAGATGAGGTGAGGCAGCATCGGAAGACAGGACTTCCTTGAGGTGAACGTAGAGAAGACAGAGGTGATGAAGGTACCCAACCAACAACAGCAGCAAGAATAACAACAAAAGCACCAATCACCATGAACGGAAGAAATCTAAACGAAGTTGTCTCTTTCACCTACCACCTACCTAGGTAGCATCATTCCACCTACAGGCGACTGCACAAATGAAGACGTCAAGGCCAGCCAATATCGGAAAGACAGCAAGACAGGCATTCATTAGTCTGAAATCAGTGTGGAGATCTACTGCACTGCAATACACTACACTGCACTACACTTCAGTGCAGTGCACTCAGCATAAAGCGTGAAGAAGATGCGGATTTTCCAGACTAATGTCAGTCAAGTAAGGCAAGGCAGTGCTTCTATGTGATGGTTGAGAGAGGTGGCGAGTTACGAGAAGCGTTTCGAACAAATTGCAGACATAGGTTATCAACAGCTGTCGCCTACGCTCACTTGATACTGACACTGAAGATGAGATTAGATGGCCAGAATAATAAGAATAAGCAACAAGGAACTCTGGCTGGCTGGCTGGCTGACTGACTGGCAACGAACCAACGAAGCGAGAACCCATTACCCAACAAATATGCAGTGGAAGAAAGTGGAGATGGATTGGACATACAGTGAGAAGACCGATAGGGAATATCACGCACCAGAGCAGACCAAACCAGACTGTCGAGTGGAAGCCAAATGGGAAAGTACGAGTTGGGCGTCCCAACTGAGGGTGACATGGAGGAGATGGTGTGAGTAAGAAATGTAAGGTTGTTGGTAGTCGTGGAGCCAGGTTGAGAATACTGCATAGAAGAGAGTGAAATGGCGATGTGCTACTGAAGTCCTATCTTCCACTGGAAATCCAAGAAAGAAATAATAATAATAGTAATAAATCAATTTTTCATCAGGTGCTTATGAGCTATAATGTTTGAGTATGGATCACAGTAAGAGTTTCGGGTACTTAGGTTCATCGATGAATGATTTCAAGAAGTGTAGATGCAATATTGTTCAAAAACATCACACGAATAAAAATGAAGTTATGAATATATGTTAAGCTTTTTCAACTGTATCAAACGAAAATGAACTTTCACAGCAAAAATAGTAGTATGAAATGAAGAAAAAAAGTTTATTGAGTAGATGAGTTATTATAAGTTAAGAAGTGAAATATGTGAATTACCAATTCGGTAGAATAAATTGATAGTTTATTATAAATGGAAAACCCCATAGGGCGATGATTTAATCCAGTAAGGAAGAGATCTGTAAACGAAGTCACTTGGAAGATGGGAACTTAACGATTGCTTCTTTTTCAACACATACTTGGCTTACATGCAAAAGATTCAATGAATTGAAAAACCTTTCAATTACTTTACCTGTTACTAGTTCATTTTGAAAGATTTTCGAGCATTTTTATTCAGTCCATTGTGTTATTTTAGATATCTGTCAATCATCCTCATGAAATTTCATTAGGGTGTGATATCTAAAATAACACAATAGAGTGAATTATATGATCCTTTTAGTTATTGGTCTTTCTGTAGGGTATTCAGAAGCGAACTTCTTAGTGATCATCAAAATCAGTGTTTGCAAAATTCTCAGCCTATACTAAGAACCATATTAGAAGTAAGTCAACTAAAAAAGACTCTCCCATGATTTCTTTTTTCAGAAAACTCAAAGGAATGCATTAAGAAAATCAGTAGCATTACACAATATTTATTACTAACGCAAATAATGGTTAATTGAAGATTACCGTAACCTGTTAGCAAAACTAACTGACCAGATCAAAGGGATCTAAATACTAGCCACACAAAAAAAATGTCATAAAAGACAAAAAATGCTTCATCTTTGGTCAATTTCTAAGAATTATTTGTTTCCAATGTGCTTCACTCTCAATTTAAACAATTTTCTGTTACACAGAAAGCTTAGTGATGCTTTTGAAGTGAAGACAGGAGTGAAACAAGGTTGCCTACTATCCTCCATGATATTCCTGATTGTGGTCGACTGGATCATGCAGCAAACAGTGGGGAGCTGCGAGAAGAGGGGGATACGCTGGACGGACCGATGAAAAGAACCTAGAAGATCTGGATTTCGCCGATAACTTGTGTCTGATGTCACACAAACTTGAAAATCTACAGGCGAAAACTAACAAGTTGGCAGAAGAGGCAGGGCAGCGAAGACGGGACCTCATGCGAATATGGAGAAGACAGAGGTGATGAAGATACCGCACCACCACCACCAACAAACTCCAGTCACCATCAACGGGGAAAACTTAAAGGAAGTAGCCTCCATCACCTATCTAGGCAGCACTGTTTCAACTGCAGGTTGCACAGACGAGGATGTCAAAGTCAGAATCGGAAAAGTAAGACAGGCGTTCATTAGCCTGAAACCAGTGTGGAGATCTTCTGCACTCAGCATGCGGAACAAGATCCGAGGGTGACATGGAGGAGATCGTGCGAGGAGGCTGTCGTGGAGCCAGGTTGAAAAGATTTCAGAGAACAGAGTTCACTGGGGACGTGCTACTGAAGCCCTATGTTCCATTAGGAACCCAAGGGACTAATAATATAATAACATAATACAAAGTTTTGCTTACCTTCGTGTCTTGAAAACTGATCATTAATAATTGATGCTTTTGTGTCTCTATCTATGACTAGGTCGAAGAAACAGTGGTACGTGAAAAGGCTGTAGAAGCACTTAGAAAACTTGCACCGAACCATACCACGGATGCAATGGAAAAGCATTTCAATCCATTGCTACATCGTTTAGCCAGTGGAGATTGGTTTACAAGTCGGACATCTGCATGTGCTCTCTTCAGTGTAGTTTATCCAAGAGTACGAAACTCAGAACGGTGGGAGTTACTTGAATTCCTTAGAAGATTAGCTAGGTAAGTCAAATAATTGCTGATTACATTATGTTAAATGATATATGTTGATAATTTTGATGATGGAATAATTCTTCGAATAATCGAACTCAAAGAATATTGCGCTAGTCCGTCTAATAATTGTTAGTATGAGCATCATTTGAAATTTTAGGCCTTTTAATTGAATGAAGAGTTTCTATATTACAACTCAAAATCGATTGTTGACTGAAGTAGCTGGGACGGCATGTGTTAAATATATCAATCAGCTATCCTGTTGGGGGATGTTAGAACTTCAAAAATCAATCATTTATGCCCGAAATCACTCGGTGAGAGATTTGAATCTATCTATTTTTTACCGTTTTCCATCGCACATGTATCGCTTGTTCTTACCACATTTAAAGAGGTTGTTTTCCCATTGGTTGTTCAACCGCTTTCAATATGCCCATTTATTCTTTCACTTTAAAATATTCCCGTATTCTCCTACTCTTACGATTGAATAAAACATTGTTCAATCCAGTATCGTCTCTTTCGTAGTATTATTCGAGCAAGTCATTTAGTGTCATATTTCGCTGACCCGGTGTCTAGACTAAGCGAACATTATCTATTATATCCGCCAATCTCAACACATCCTACTCATTATTACTTTAAGTAGGTTAAGATTGGAAAGAGGTTATGGATAATCAATCTATGCACTTTTTAATTACTAGTCTAAGCTATAAAGGAAAATGTAGACCTGTTTTAAGTCCTAAAAACAAAAGAAGTTAATGATTGGAGGACTTGGCGAATTGGTGCTGAATCGATCATAGTGGCGCAGTTGTATCTAAATCTTATTTTCTGCATTTGTTTTACAATGAACAGAAGGATTGCTCTGGTCATTTATGTACATGTAAAATGTGGGCTAGAGTCATTGGTATGTATTTACTGCATTGTCAAAGGTCGTACTATTGACATTTTATTTGTCCATTATTACCTAGTGTTGACAGTTATTCGTCCACTAAAAAATAACCAGACAAACAGCTATACTTTCAGTTAGGTTTCCACTTTTCCGGAGCTTTCCCAATCTCGTTTTCTGTGTTCTTCAGTAGTGTAAAGACAGTATTTCAATGATCCGTATCCATTGTTGTTTGTCGAAGTGTTGTGGGTGTATAATGACAGTTTCTAATTTATAACCCTACAGTTAGGCGTAATCTTCAATCAAGTATTATTCGGTCACATCAATCTTGAACGTAATTATTCTGTTTCACTTATTTCTTCCTACTAGGTTTGATTTATCCAGTTGTGTAGTTGTCATTATTGTTATCCCTTTTTCCTCTTGTTGATGTTTATTTGCTATGATGATTTGAAATGTTGCCGTTTGAATCAGTTGCAATCATGCTTATTTTTGTGACTGACTGAATAACTAGGATTTCCTGAAGTTTTGATGATGATGACGGTTTTTTTCAGTTTCTTCTGTTTTTTCGCTTGTCAATCACTGTTATCATTTGTCAACTGCGTATTCAGTTGATTGTTAAATGGATCTTTGACATTATCATCTTGCTGTTCTTGGAAACGTTTTCCACGCAAAGTATATCTGCATCTTTTACGTGCCAGACACTTATGAGGTAGCACATGTTGCTAGCCAAAGCCACGCGCTCCAGAAAGAGCGACTATCTTTTATCGATACCCTTCTGTGGTAACTAATATTGATATAGTCTACATATGTTCATTATTGGATTCAGATTAATGACCGCCAGGGCAAACAGTGTCTGTGTTTACATCCTAAATTAGTGCTAACCAGGAATAAGTGGTTTTCCGAGGACAGTTACAGGTAAATTCTCTTTCTTGGAGGCCTTCAAAATAGTAATGACAGTTAGCGGCTAGCAGTAGAACCCAGGATGTACGTTTCCTCCTGCTAGGGACTCGTCATCTGGATGTATCCGCCTCTCAGTGAGTGACATTGTTCCCACTAAGACTTGAACTCGGGACAGGTCAGTTCGGTCCAATCAACGACGGGATGATAAAAGTAACAACACCAAAGCTATGTCCTTTGCACAAGGAGTGGCTATGGGAACTCGGTGACCTAGTGGACATTTGAAGCGATCGACCGCAGGTTTGAGCCTTCATGATCACCCAGATCAACGTAGAACCAGACATTACTGCTAAACGGCCCAATTTGCCACACCTCATGTCAGAACATCAAGTAACAAAATAATAAGATGAAAGATGAAGGAAGAAAGAAAGAAGAAGGGGTCAGAAGCAGTAGAAAGTGGTAAGGGAGAGGAAGAAGAGATGGTAAAATGCTGAATTTAGCTTAGTGGTTAGGATGAGGATGAAGTGTGGATAAGTCTGCGCCACTGATATTGGTTCTGTGCCATATCACCTAGAGTCTCCAACGACTGGTTTCTCCTGTCCCGTGAACCGGAACCGGCTAGTCTGTATCACCCTACGTAGCTGAAGCGAACAGTCAAGAATTTGATGCACTAATGTTATGTTTTAGTTTGGCCACCCCGAGCCTTTTTCCAGCCTGAACCTACTTCGACCAACACTGTGAAATGAGGCATGTCGCATATTTCAGTCGATGAAGGTTGACAATCACATCAACTGTCTTACCTCTCCTCCGTAAAACTCTACATCTAACCTCTGCATTACTAAGGTGGTGACACGACGAAACACGGTCTGTACTACGGAGGCAGTGGTGATCAGACACCTGAAGTCATCTTACGTCTTCTACCTTTAATGCCCATGTTTCACAGGTATAGAGTAGGACAGAGTGAACTGCAGTGCAGTACATTCGATCCTTAATTGACAATGGGATATGGAGGCAGGGGCACAGATGGTGTAAGTTAGGAAAAGCTAATCGAGCCTTTTGTATGTGTGCAGAGATTTCGTCGTTCACTGTCGAACGGACGGCGCTGATCCTACTTACCAGGGGTCCTAGTTTTAGCGTGAACAACACCACTCATTAGAAGGCAGCTACGTTCAACTGACGAGTTTCAAATAGGTTGAAACGCGTATCCTGTATCCCACTGCTAACCACTGTCCATCATTGCTACAACATTAAAATGTAAAGCCTTCAAAATAGTTCAAATGTATTATTAGCTTGCGTAAAGAAGTGAAATGCATGATCTATTTTGCGTCATATCAGCGATTCTTTGATGTATTGGTGTGGACATTTGAAATCCAGTCAGAAAGTCATGAGTTGAAAACCTCATCCAGATACTGAGATATTCGGACATCAAGTATATACCACTTGTTAACTAACACTCAACAAGTCTTATACTTTAGTATGCTCATCCGTATGTTTTTCTGTGAATGTGACTCACACAGGAAGGGTGTAGTCACGTAGTCTTTTGCTTACAACGATTTTTTTAGTTTTATACTTGATTATTTGAGTTCGATTTGGCGTTAATGTGTTTTATGTTTTGATTTTGGTTGATACTCAGAGATGAAACGCCTATGGTGAGACGGGCGGTTGCTGCTCGTTTAGGCGAACTTGCATTAGCCATGTGGGGTGGTCATCCAACTGAAGAAAAATCTGGAGTAACCGGGGAAAAATCAGTTAAAAATACTGGCAGTAACATAGTGGATATGACCACTTCAACTGTTGAATCAAACAAATCAACGGGTTCATTGGAAAACGATCAAACTGGTGATCAGAAATCTGTAGATTCAACTCAGGTAGATCGTGTTGATGTTGACTTGACCACTGTAAGAAGTGAGGAACCTTCATCTTCAACAAATTCTCCTCAAACAGATGATTTCACTCTAGACCCTGAAAAAGAACGTAACAATATTCTCACTGTTATTGTTCCTATTTTTATTCGCCTTTTTGCTGATGAACAAGAGTCTGTACGCCTTATGGCTGTTGAGTCTGTTGTTCAGTTGGCACAAGCTTTGGGACCTGAAGAATCAGAAGAGTATTTGATCGATCTTATTCAACAGGCTACAACAGATAAATCTTGGCGTGTTCGATGTGTTGTAGCTGATAAATTCACTGAAATTCAAACAGCTATGGGACTACGTGTTTCACGTGAACGCTTGGTGGTAAGTGGAACAATAAAATAATCAATAAGATTTTAGTGCATGTCTGTAGGTTCTTACTGTATCTAGAAAAGTTAAAAATAATTTGAGATGGCGTTTTCTTTCTTATGCCTTTTTATGAGTATTCATTTTTATAAAGCAATAATTTAAAAAAGACTCCATTTTAGTGTACATTCAGTTAGTCAATCGCTACTAATTAACATGAGACCTGGTAGTCCTTCAAGATTGTTAATGTTACCAAGCTTGACATCAGCACAGTAATATCATCATCATCATCATCAATATCAACATAGGACCAGGCAGCACTGCGTAACGGTGCGAGTTGTGACACGTCATATCAGTACATCACCTAAAAACACAGTGAAGTGAAAGATGAAGAAAAGAAAAGAACAGTCAAAAAATATAAAGTACTAAAAGAGAGAAAAGAAGAATGAGAAAATGGTGAGATTCGGTATAGCGTCGTTAAGATGAGGATAATGTGTGTATACATCTGCGCCACTGACATCGGTCCTGAGCCATATCACCTAGGGTCTCCAACCACTGGTTTCTCTTGTCCCACGGATTCCAACCACCTAGTCTGCATTGTCCCGCATGACTCAAACCAAAAGTCAGAGACTTCATACATTGATGCCATGTTTTTAGTCTGTCCACCTCGAGCTTTTTTCCAGCTTGGACCCTATTCCGCTCAACATTGTGTGATGAGGCAGACGGTGACTAGGTATACGTAACACATATCGGAGCCAAGCATCTCATTCGATGAAGGTTCACAACTGTGTCAACTGACTTACCTGTTCTCTCTAAAACTCTACACCTGACTTCTGCCTTATTCATATGGTGACACAACGAAATAAAGCCTATACTACGAAGGCAACAGTGGTCAGCACAGCAATAATATATGAGGCAGCATGATAATGGATAAACATATCGGAAAAATGTGATCAGAAGTCATGACACAAAAGAAAAGGTAGTGAAATAAGTGAAGGAATGTGATATAAAGATTTCGGATATGCATATCCTTGTAAACCCTACAGGTGAACACCTCAGTCTAGAGGTGTTACCTAGTTTTCTTGTATCACTTTAAGTTTAATTCTAACTAATATTTTAATTATAGTTTCAGTATTCTTATTCACCTGTATTTCTCTCCTAATTCTATTTCTAATTAGCCTTTTTTTATGAAGTTACTTCACGATGAGGAGGCTGAGGTGCGCGCTTTTGCTGCAGGCAAAGTCAAATCATTTGCTAGATGCTTATTAGGCTTACCAGCTGTTGAATCAAATGATACAAACACTGTAAGAAGTTTAAACGATTCCACGAATCTTTCTGTTGAAACTAAAATGGAAATTGATGAAAAATTAGAGTCTGATAATAACGCTGTAGCATTTGACGATGATATTATTATGCTACAGTTGTTACCAGCAGTGAAAAGTTTAACAACTGAAACTAATACACATGTAAAGTCTGCTTTGGCTGGTGCTATTCTTGGTCTAGCTCCGTTAGTTGGAAAAGCTTCAACTACTGAACATTTATTGCCTATATTTCTTGCTCAGTTGAATGATGATAATCCAGAGGTTCGATTGAATGTCATCTCCAATTTAGAACAAGTGAATTCAGTAATTGGCATTGATCATTTAGCGACAAGTCTGTTACCTGCGATTGTACAGTTAGCAGAAGATCCTAAATGGCGTGTTCGACTAGCCATTATCGAATATATGCCTCTGTTAGCTGATCAGTTAGGCTTGGAGTTTTTTGGTAACCAGTTGACTGAATTATGTCTATCATGGCTTGTTGATCAAGTGTATGCAATCAGAGAAGCGGCTGTGGAGAATCTTGTTCGTTTGTGTATAAAATTTGGACCAGAATGGGCTAGTCAGTTCTTTATTCCAAAAGTAAGGTGTATATGAATATTGATTGATAATATTAGTGTAATGTTTATGTGTTGTAACATACTCTGAAGTATTGTATTTTGATTCTATGCATTTTTGATTGTTGTTTGTGAAATATTTGTCAGGTTATGTCCAGTAGTTGCATGCTGGTTACTACTCTATTCCTTTAGGAAATGCACTTGTTATTAGAGCGTTGGAAGTAATACTCTAGTTATCTAAATTAAAGTGTTGTGGTAGAAATTACGCTCCTACGCAACAGTTGTTGAAGATTAACTGATTGGAATTTTTGGGTAGTGCTATTCTTTTCAATCATGTGAACACTTTCGAGGTAGATTGTAGAGAGAACAAGTATCAATAACATGAGATATGGCATAACAGCGTAACTGTTCAGGTTGTCATAGTTCACAGCAGCACTTTGAAGTGGTTAGAAAGTTGGATTACAAAGAGTTGAATGTCATGTTCTTCAAAGTGATGAAACAATACTGTCAGATGAGGGCAAAAGAAGGAGCAGAGAATAAATATATGTGATAGGTTGATGAAGAGAAGACGTAACTTTATCTGATGCAGTACAATGGGTTCTAACCTACACCACCTAGTGTCTCTCCAACTGATTTTTAATTTACTCTATTTCACTTTGATCACTCGATATTTCGTGACAGTTTGGTGCACCATTGGTTTTCTGGTTAATGAGTTAATGGCTACTCGTGGTGTTTTGTGCAAAAGAAAGAGATGTGTAAAATGAATCGTGAGCACAAAGTTTGCATACGTTTTTCATCCCTCTGGTTCATTGCTATATAAGCCATCATTTGATAGTATTGATTCTCTAACTTCACCTTCTGATATTAGTATGAATCGCCCTACACCTTCCCCAACTTCTTATTCTGCGACTATTGCCAACAATCAAAGCTATCAAAACCTTCTAAGACCCTGCTATTGATTTCATGTAGAGGCTTTTAACGTCCGGACTCTATGCCAAATCGGACAGCAGGTATCACTTGCCAAAACTCTAGGATCTTGAGCGATAGACATATGCTGTGTCTCTAAGGCATGAATACAAGACCCTAGTGTTGTTATTAAATTGAACTCACCTGACCATAGTTGTGAATCTTCAGAAATCACCTAAAGAGCATCCAGAAACCCAGTAACTAGCTCCCATGGATTTTCTGGTGTAGGCATAGCATTGAGCGAACATTGCTCAAATTTAGTGAAATCACCGTGTGAGCAGTGTTAAAGTCAGGTGAAGGATATTAGGCGAGATACACAAGTCTTTGGATGAAGTTGTGAACCTTCATCGATTGAGGGGCATGTATTGGGCATACCGATCCACCGATCACCTCAACGTGTTATGCTGGGAGAAGCTGAATTAGGTTGGAAGAGGGTTCAAAGTGGACAAACTAAGACATAGCACTAGTGGATGAAGTCCCTAACTGTTGACCTGAGTTGTTCTGCTAGGTTTAGACTGCTAGAATGGGTCAATGAGACGATGGGAATGAGTGGTTCATATTTGGTGACATGGCTGAAAACCAGTTGCAGTGGTGGAGAGGTATTTACTCTTTGATATCTTCGAAAGCTTGATTGAATATTCGCACTAACCTTATTTAGTCACATAGCTTTGTTTATTTTTTATATTACTACTGTTCTATCCACCTTTTCTCTGTATACTATTGTGAATTGTGGCAACTTGAGTCGATACACTTGTGTGTACGGGGTTCTACGTTGATTCTATCCATCTCTTTGTCCGTCTGTTCGTTTTTATTTTCATATGGTTTTGTGTATCGTTGAAATGATTTGATATAGTCTCAATTACTTATATAAAGGTAGATTGTTTATTGATGAACGGAGAAAACCTGAGGCCTGATAGGACTCGAACTAGCAGCTTTTAGGTTATCGATTCAAAACAGTTGTTATTTTGTATATGGTGTAGAGAGGAGAGTATATGAAGTGGAATTAAACTAAGTCGTATCGGAAAAAGCTGCGTAATGTGAATGGGCTAATTATTATCGCAAATTTTTATGGTAAACATGTTTTTTAACGTTAAAAACTCCTAATGTATTAAAAGAGGGACGTTGACTTTATATGTGACAAGTTGTTGCATATATTTATTCATTGTTCACTTCAGTTTGAAGTTGCCTCTTCATATTTTGTCCTGTATACTACAGAATAAACGGTGTCGTGTTTTATAATAGATAGTAGCTAACAGTGGGATTTAGGACGCGCGTTTCGTCCTATTTAGGATTCGTCAGCTGGATACAAGGAACAATATTAGTGTCATGTTGTTTAGTGCTAGGTTTTGTCTAAATTTTATCGACTAGGTTTGCAGTATGATCATCAAGTGAGAAAATTGGTCTTCATGATGCATTTTGGTTGATTTTAATTGGTTAGATGCCGTAACTAAGACGCCTTTCATTTCTTAGGCTTTTGATATACCGTCAATCCAATGGCAAGTCTTCCTGTTTGATAATTATGGAATGAAAATATTGGATGAAATTCACTCAGGATTTGTTGCTAGACAACTTGAAATCGGTTACTCTTCAGTGACTAATCAGTATTTATCATCCATTCTTATGAATGATCGGTTGCGACCACAGTAGCTAAAGGTTGACATTTCTGGCCACAAAAGTGGGTGATGTAGGTTCTGATATTGGAGGTTGTTACATAATCCCTCATTGTTATATGCCTGAAATGGCTATTGTGAACAGGCATACAGTTTAGTTGGAGGCAACCCTTTGGCTTAAGATTGTTAATGATTGTGTTAATACAATCAAAATAAAAACATTCAATCAGAAAAGAGCTTTTGATAAGCGGAAGAAGAAAAAAAAATACGGCTTGCCGTGGCCATTAAGGTAGTCAGGTAAATTTCATCAACCGTAACTTATACCATGGTGTCTAAATCATCTTTGAAAAGGTGTTCAGTTCAGGTTCATTGTGTTAACTAAACACCTGTTAGCATATTATTTTTCTTGATTATCTGTATTGTCACTTCTTACTTAACTTTCGTTGTGTTTTTTTCTTCTTTTTTGTAATCATTTCTCTTAATTTAATTTTATGTTGTTGACACTTTAGATTATCCACTTATCACGTGATCAAAATTATCTTCATCGTATGATTTGCCTTCAAAGTATTATCAGTTTGTGTAAAGTTGTCAGTTCAACAGTATGCTGTCAATATTTGTTGCCTACAGCCTTATCAATGCATACAGATAGTGTGCCTAATGTTCGTTTCAAAGTAAGTCTATTTTACTATCTTTATTACTTCTATATATATATATATATATATATATATATATATCCACATAGATGTAGACTTCATAAGATTTAGTTAGGAGTGATACAACGTAACTCCGGTACACGTTTATCTTCCAGGCTATAAATCACATTTATTTTATTTAGATCTATAATCAATACTATATACCTACCCAAACCTTGATAGGTCGAGTGAATTTTAAAACCATGACCTACCTACCTACCTACCAGTTAAAAGTGTACACCACATATGATTTTTATAAAGTGCATGCTGGAGAATTTGTCAAGTACTCTATGATCTTTTAATTGAGACACTGGTAGCATCTGACTTCTTGATATCGGCCTACAGCAAACAAGATATAAAGCAGTGAATTCGATGGTAATTTGTCATATATGTGTATAGTTTACAAAGGTAGATCATCAAATTTTCTTCATTAATTTATTGGGAGAAGAAAGGTTGTTTTTAACAATCCCTCCTTATTTTAGCATATTATATTATATGTCTTACACGCATTATGATGCCAATAAGTTTGAAATGATTGATTGGATTTTAGCTGTTTACTCCGTTACCCTTTGATGTGAAACATAAAAAATATGCAAAAAAGTGTTTGTCGTGGTTTACAATCAAATAATAGCTAAAGCCTGTATACTGAAAGGGTAACGCCTTTACCCACCATACCGATTGCTAAGAAATCAGATGAGATTTGTTTTAGTACTGTTTTTTTCTTCTGCCACTAGATTGTTCCGTGAGTGAGTGGGTTAACTTCCTGTCTTTGAAACGACTTAAAGTTTCACTTTTGCATTTCTATTATCTTAACCAAAGTGTTTTTTGTCCTAACTGCCATCTATCATTATCACATTTTAGCAGTGCTTGTTATCTCAAGTTGTTATTCATCGTAGACTGACATCAGTTGGAGGAACAAAGGAAACCTGGGAGCACTGGACAGCTGTTTCGTCCTAGTATGGGACTCCTCAGCAGTGCGCGCCCACGACCCCACCAGCAGGGATCGAACCCGCGACCTTCAGGTTCCGTGGCCAGCACGTTACCATTGAGCCACTGGGTCAGAATCCGATGCTCCATATTTCCAACTTCTGTTAGCTCACGATTGAACTGGTGCTCATTGGTGACTAGCTTCGAGAAGTATTCCCGAAGTTCCAATGAGGAGTCGTGACCGGTGGAGTCAAAGCCTGATGGCCATGAGGACAGATACTCAGCGATGACATTGGATGGCGGTTGCGCTATATGTCGTGAGCTAACAGAAGTTGGAAATATGGAGCATCGGATTCTGACCCAGTGGCTCAATGGTAACGTGCTGGCCGCGGAACCTGAAGGTCGCGGGTTCGATCCCTGCTGGTGGGGTCGTGGGTGCGCACTGCTGAGGAGTCCCATACTAGGACGAAGCAGCTGTCCAGTGCTCCCAGGTTTCCTTTGTTCCTCCAACTGATGTCAGTCTACTATGAATAATAGCTTGTTATCATTGTCTTTAACACTATAATTTGGTGTCACCATCAATGGGCTTTATTTCCCTGCCGTTAAGACTAACGAAAGAAGAATAGTTGTAGATCATATTCTATGTAATTGACACAATTCAGATACCTATTGAAATCTGTAGTTGTCCTTTCGAGTTATCAAACTCCTTGAACATTTGAGTTGAAGGTTTTTTTAAAGTAACTCGTTTTGTTGTGGAGTATTAGGCAAAGTAAATTTTTTTAATACCACACCATCTGTCAACAGTTGGTAATCTATTTCTTACTCATTTCAATCACCCTCAGAGCATCTAACACTAGTAGGTTGAATCTCTAAGGCTGTTGTCTTTCAGAAATATAAGCGATGTTGAAAGTGCGTGTATATACACGAATGAATCAATGCTTCTTAACTGTGCTCTAGCCGAAACCAATTTCCTTATCGATGTGATTGAATAACTGTCAAATGTGAGAGATACCTAGTTATGTGCTTACTTCGAAATATTTAGTTTTGGCTTATTCTGACCAATGTTCATACTTCAGGTAGCTTATACTGCTAAATGCTAAAATTTCGTTTCATTTCTAGGACTTGTATTTTTTTTTCTAGCATCTTTTGACTGCTAGGAAGCAACATCTATGAGAGTGCTGGCTATCTTTAAGAAATATTTAACCACTGACTGGTTATGCAACAATATAGTCAACACCAGTCACTTGGAGGCAGGTACATCCAGCTGACGAGTCTCAAGTAGGACGAAATACGCATCGTGGATTCCATTGCCAGCCACTATCCATCTTTACTATAATATAGTCAACAGTTGGAATTTTTTTCAAGTTGGTATTCAGCACTGACTGTTAGCAGTCGGAGGAACATTAGAAATCTGGGAGCATTGGGCAATTGTTTCGTCCTAGTATGGGACTCCTTAGCGATGAGCACCCATGACCCCACGAAAGCTCAAACCCGTGACCTCCAGGTTCTGTGGTCAGCACGTTACCATTGAGCCACTCGATCGAAATCGAGTGGTCCATATTTCCAACTTCTGTCAGTTCACGACATAACGTGGTCACCATCTAATATCATCGTTGAAGTAAGTAACCGTCGTCTAGTCTCAATCGAGAGGGAATATGTGTGTGAATGAAAAGATGTACGTGTGTGGTTTATTCAGTCAGTATGAGCATCTATAATTCGAGCTAGGTATTTCAGAAATATTATGTATGACAGTACATAATATGATTTGAAGACATATTTTTAGTTAAAAGGAGGAATTTTGATGTAGTCCATGTAAAATTGCTGATAGACAAATGTTCATCATGAATCTTTGGGTGTGTATGTCATGTTTGACGCTGTGCGTTATAGTTGGTATACTTCGATTTGACAGTATTCTCTATTTTAAAGGAATATGGGTATAGCAGTAAGTTTGTTACTCTTCAAAATGTAAATTCTCTCAGTAACCACGTGGATATCCATGCACTAGGTAATGAACCCCACCTATTATGTGAAACCTAAAAATACTTTCTGACTGCACAAACTCCGGTAGCCGGAGCAGAGTTCGAATCCATAAACCACTCTTTGACTACCTAAACTAATATACCACAGTTGCACCCATTCTCCCTCTTACTTTCATTGTTAATATTGTTACAATCTTTCAGGTTGCTCAAGCGCTAAGTAATTTAGGTCCACAATTAGAAGAGAAAGATATTAACAATCAAGTGAAAGCTTGTCTTACTCGACTAGCTGAAGACGCTGATACTGATGTGAAATTCTATGCCTATGAAGCTATGGATTCACTGAAGATATCAACTAATAAACCATTTCAAAGTTATCATCTTAAAGTGAAACTTGACAATCCAACAGTGTTGATCAATCCAAATTATATTCAAACTCCAGCATTATCAACGCCACTGCAGTCACCATCATCCAAATTAACAGGAGTTGAACATGTTAATGATGCAACATTGGCTTCATTGAGTATTGCCGATGAGAATACTAATACTGCTAATGTTAGTGTTAGTGGTCTTATGTCATTGACAACACCAGATCCATTGTTGACGGTGAATAATTCTAATGATAATGAGGATAGTGTAAATTATGAAAATTAACACATATGAAAGATAGTTCAATTTTTCACGTCTTTCTCCTCTATTATCAGAATTGTTTCATTGTTGTCTAGTTCGCCAAGAGCATTCAGTTGAATAACCAATAAGTAAGTAGCTAGTACATACATCTCAGTTCTCTTTACAAATCTTTTTCTCAATATTTGTATGAATGTTCAATAGACAGAATGAAAAGAAATTTAACCTTCTTTCTATCGAAAACTTTTAAATGAATATATATATCGTACACTATACATGTTGAATTATTATGCATTGAAAACACAATCAGGCTGAACAAATCTCAAAATTACTACTGGCTTTCTTTTTTCATATTCATAAGTAGTCTGTATCTTCTTAATAAACACACTTAACACTCTGGTTGTTATTATTACTACTATTTATTACTAACTGTTATCACCACCAGCGGTCATTCGTTTGATAATATACGCTGTTGGGAATACAGTCTCTCTCACCCCCTCATATATATATATATATATATATATATATATATATAGTGGCTAAATATGTGTGTTCGTTGTGTACCGATGATTGATTTTGGCACACATATTTATAGTGTTTGAGAAGCATGGAGGTTGTGTGTTCCAGTGCAAAAATAAAAGCGTTAAACAGTTAATTTCTGTATGTATCATACAATTTTCATTTTCTTATTTCTCTTTCAATTTATACTATTAATCTTTAAGTTATTTAATAACTATGAAATACATTTCTTTATTATTGCCGTTTGACTATGTTCTATATTATACAATTGTTTATTTTTGTTGGCCTTGTTAGAGTTCTTCATATGTTTGTTTACTCCTTTTCTTTTTGGTTTAATGAAAAACAAATGCAAATAATTCTGTTTCAATTAGGTCCACTTCCCTTCGTGTCTCCTTGACATCTTTAATTTGTTGTTTTTTTCTGGATGAATCTGTTGACATTGTGTTGTTTTAATTTTTCAATAATGTGCCTTGGTATTTGATTTAAGATATGCAAATGTGTATAAAGTGAATTGGACAATGTAATTATTTAAGGGTGTTTTAATCATCTGGTTACAAATAGGAATCACAGGATTTCTACATCAGTACCCTGAGTCACGTTCTCTTATTATCTGAAACTTTAGCCTTATGGTATGGGGACTCGAAATGTTATAGGATTTGATTTTACTTCTAAAGATATTTCATAAACAACCTGACCTATTGAATTATACTAATTTACACAAGACGATTGTTGGTTAAACTGACTAAAGTGTTAACCAAAAAAGAACGTGGATTGGACACTATTTCCTTTGAGTGTTCTTGGTTGTTGGCTGTCTCACTTTTTAAAACGAATAAAAATGGCTTTATTCTGAAAGCTATTTCTAGGATACTCTAGAGAATTTCAGCATGTCTGTATAGTATCAATTGGACAGAGACAGTGTACATGTATACATAGCGAAATGAAATAAGTAGAAATCACATATCTCTGTTGATCTCTTCCCTGCCAGATAGTAAACAAGTTATTTGGTAAAGTGTTGTCGGGTCTCTCCTACCAACAACCTGCAGCCTGTTCTGCTTCACTTGCTAATGTGTCGTGGATGTGTTTTTTGTCCTCCCGCTCACTATTCGTAACTGCTGTGTCCAGTGTTTTATATGTTGTGTCCAGTTCGTCTATTCGTTGTTCATCCTTGCACTGGTTCATCTTCTGCTTCATCATCTTCCTCTCCCTCCTCTATCACCTTCCATGTGTCCATCGAGAGCCATTCCAGTCCTCATCTTCTTCCTTCCTAATACGGTTATGAAGGTTTCTTTCCACATAACTTTCAAAGAGTTCCAGTGCTCATCCACACAGGTTTCTTCAGGGATGTTGCTCGATATCTCCCATTTTGTCTTGACGGTTGACATGAAAAAAAGATGAGAATATTCACTCTATTTACAACTTTATTGAAAGTGTACACTTAATTTAGGTAGACAATCACATTAACAATTAGATTGATAATACGTAAATGGTAGGTAATATGCTATGTACTCATCAATTAGTTTGTTTTCAAAAACACAAGTTGATTAGTTAGTACATTTCTAATACTTTCTTCATCGCACAGGAGAAGAGCTTTAGTTAGCTGAATACGATATTGTCAAATTTTTTATATTTTGTAGTACGTGCATAAAGTCCTATGTACTTGCTCCTTGTCTTTCCAGATGACTGACACTCAGAGGTGTGTGTGTGTGTAGAGAGGATGCTGGTCATCTGACAAAATAACTCCTCCCAGATGTTTACATGACTTAACATGTTTGTCTGCAACTGTTTTAACTGGAAGGTTTAGAAGTATACCACTATTGGTGGTGACAATCTTCAAAGTTCTAGTCAATATAGCATAGTCTTTTCTCAGCAACCCGGAATTAAAACAAAGGAGAACAATAGAGGAGAATTGGCAAGATGCAGGAGTTTATAAAACACAAGAGGAGAGGCTGGGTTATACCAGATACTCTCAGCTACCTAATATGGAAAGGTAAGTGGAGGATTGTTTTGGAAACTAGTAGGATATGGGAAGACCAAGAAAGGTTCGAAGAAGCACACACTTAGATAAATCACACTTGTAACATTCTCTAATGCACAACTATCAACAGAACAGGAATCATGAGAACTAAGCAGTTTACATAGGTTATGTTCACGTTTGAAACTAGAGTTTTATGGTCTGACATTTTGAAGAATTAAGCATTAGACCATTCTCGGAGGACCATCGTCAAACAGTAGTTAGGAAATCATTGAGTTGGGAACAACCTGTTGAAGAAGAGATAGGTATAGAAACTCTCAGGTCATCAGGATATTTACTGAAATTGATACCAGCTGAGGATGGTAAGTCATGCATAAAGAAAGAGAAAAGATAAAGGGAAGGATGGCCTCCTTGGGGAACACGTCACAGTAAGCGGTTAGGTGAAGCGCTTCCCTCTGTGAACAAACAGTATGTTGTAACTCTTCAGAGAAATAGGCATGCAGTCAGCTGATTATCTTGGACTCAGTATTTTTCCCGGTTAGGAAAAGGGGTCATGGGACAGAATCAGATGCCGAAGTACAGACTGAAAAGGCACACCTGACATACTTAGCTTTTTTATCAATATTGTAAACAATACTGTGATGTAGGAGAGTGGTCGCATCCAAAGTGTTGCATCAGCCTGATGAACATTATGTTTACGATTGTCTGTTGGGTAGTCGTTCAATGCCTAACTGGAGCTGAGTTATAGACAACCAGACAAGTTTCACTTGTGACAATCAGTGTATCGACTGTTCAGATGTTGGAACATGAGCATGCATACACATGTGGTAGATTTCTAGCCTGAAGGTAATATTTCACGTCGGTTGTTAGTTTTTGGGGAAGTGTCTATTATCCAGGTGAGTACCTCACAGTTAAACTGTCTTACTGAGGGCGTCGTACATGAACATTCTTGGTTCGTATCAAAGCTTTTGACCAGCTATCCTCGGAGGTGTCTACATCAAATGATGATGGTTAGTTGTGTACACTCCTTTTTTAGTTGCTTTCATCATAAATATACTTTTGGCATGCCTAACTTTGCTTATGTATATTTATCTTTTACTTAAACCTACGTGTTGTAGCTGCAGTATGCGTATATAGACTTGTGAGTTACTTGTGAATCAATTGTCTCTTTCTAAATTTCACTCGAAGGGGAAATTCCTTCAGGTTGATATGAGGAGATTTTTCGGTAACAGTTTAGCATCAAATTTGTTTGCAGATCATATTGATTCAACACAAACACCTTTGTTAACTGAATCTCAAATTTCTCCTGAAATGTTCAGTCTATTTTCCTTTCATTTTTTGTTATAACCAGTCAACTGCTTGCATTTCCATGCATTAAGTGATGAGTCAGAGAGCTGAATGATGTCTGTCACCTGGCTAGTTAAACGTGGATAGGTTGTGCTGAGTTTGAACCTTTAACTCAGTGGTTGACCAATCAACCACAGCTCAATATTTTACTCTATGAATGAATAGGTGTACAGTTCAGTATAATTCCGACTTCAGTGATCAGTTTTTTTAATAAGTTCTGCGTAATCATGCGGTAGCTAGTGGATTCTTGGCGTAGGTTCTCTGTCAGCTGAGGTAAGAGACTACTTGGCTGTTGGTCATCAGTGATCGGCTTTCTATTCAGGAATACGATGTTGTACTGAAATTTAATGTACTTGTTTTCCTGTCTCACTGGAGTGTAGAATGTTGAGAAAGGAGACGAACGAGTTTAAACAGTCATCTCTCTAAACCACTGAAAAGAACACGTTATACTTGGAAAGTAACCTTACTATTCTAGTTGTATATAACTTTAGAATTGTAATCTATTATATCCACTTAATACTATAGAAGCTATTGTGAACTTCAGGCTACTTTGTCCAAAAGATTTTTAGGGTTCATACCCCTATGACTGAGACAGCTCCAAGTAGTTTCGTAATAGGCTAACTATTTTCCCGTTACGTAACGTATTGTCAGTCTTACATAAATAGATGGTTTTGCGAACACGTTTTATAACCTTCATCGCTAGTTTGTGAGCTCTGACGATGGAGATGTTAATCAACAAATAGTGGATGCAAAATGACAGTGGTTCACAGGTGTGTATTATATCTACACTACTGCACTGAAGGCATCCGGTGACACCTTAGCAGATTACTTAGCCGATATATAAATATGTTAAATAAACACTTATTTGCTTTAAAACTAATGATATTTTGGTGCCATGAAGGTGAGTTACAGTATCATTATACCGCACACAATAGGTGAGGCTCATAATCACCTAATTAACAAACTTGCATATGGTTATTGAGTGTATGAATGATTTAGTTTACTTACATGTAACGGAAATTCAATAGTCGTCGCGATGAACAACACGTTTATCATTATACCTACCTCAAATTAATGGGATAGTGACGCTTTTCTTCATATCAGGTTTATAAGGACTTACTTTCATGATGAAATGGTGCCCCAGTGACTTAGTTTTCAGGACCATTATAGTAGCCAGTTTGAATCCGGTCGGAATATGCATTTTCCTATCAACTTCAGTTATCAATCTGTCACAAAGACCATTCTTTTTCAACAATATTTTCTAAAGCTGTACAATCGTATTCATATCATAAACATAACAGTCGATTAGGGTATAATTACATCATTAACCTAATGCTAAGAAACCGGAATCAAGAATGGAAAGTAGTTGCACAGTAATCCTTTAGACAGTAGAAATAACGAGGAAGGCAAGGAGTTTGACATGGTGAAAATTGTTATAATATTACAAATGCGAATACTAAGTGTCCACTTGATAAACAGATAGATATAAAGAAGGTGAAGAATGAGACAAGGGTCATAATGAAGGTGATAATAATGAACTAACTAATTACAATGAAATCTAAATATGTGAAAGTGTTAAGAACGTGGTAAGACAAGAAATTGAACATACTTCTTTTGCACGCAGAGATCAGACTTGAATTGGTGAATTGCCAGAGCTTGCGCTGTGCACAACTGTCGATGGCGTACTCCTTTTGAACTATTCGATTTGACACGATAAATGGCACTGAAGGAGGGTTCTAGTCGAGATTTATGTCCAGAGTTGACCAAATGTTAAAAAATTGGACTGTTAATTGATTTACATTCTCCCCTCGACAACCATGCAGGATAGTGCTCCGAGATACTTTTGGAAAGTGTGAGCTTTGTGCGGCCTATATAACTGGCTCCACAGGAGCAAGTAAATTTGTAGACACACATCGAGGTGGCCGAAAGTGGCAACTTGTTCTTAACGCACTCCGGAATGAGTTGTTGATCAGAGAAGCTGATTCGCAGTTTCTCAGAGAACAATGTCTTCTTCAGTGATCTGGACAGCCGATTCTTCAGGATCTCTGCTGCCGTATCGCCTTTGAAAACAACGTTCATAAACGAGGTCTTCTTAGGAATTGTGAGTACTTGCTCCGTATTCTGATTTACTTTCAAGTTCTTATCAATAAATCTGGATGGATATCCATTTTGCATGAGGATTTTCCTTAGTTTATCTAATTCTTCGTCGATAGTATCACTCGTGCTGATTCTTGAAGATAAAGAATGGATTAGATTCTTCTTTCTGCCAAGAGGCACTCAGCTATAGGAATTCAAATATTGTCCATTGCACGTAGGCTTTCTATAAATTGATATCCTGAAGAGAACCATCTGCTTTCCGTTTGACATC